GTAGTGAAACGAAAGTAACCCATTAGAATTTAGGGTGAAATTACTATGTCAGTTTATATGCGTACATTACGCGATAAAAATATATACGCTCAGTGGCGGCGGGCGGTGCCCGTGTGGCAGAAATTGGCATTTTTGCCTCTTCGCATATATATATGTGTATGTGTATATATGTTAATATATACATATAAAGGTTATTATGTGTATTACACACTGCTGCAGAATACCCCATGGGAAGGTTGTGTTTTGGAGAATATGATTTGGATTATTTTAATTGGCCATTGTATCTTGCAGAGCTCAATATTTATTGGTTTCCGGTAAGGGCCCCGATGATAACAGGTATCCTGTTTATTTATAACATGTACCCGCCTGTAAAGTAGGCATCTGTTCGCCTGTTTAATGCAGTGGAACCGTGTGTCTTCTTTGTATGCAGAGGGGTGTTATACGTATAGCCCACTTTGTGGTACTCACAGTTAAATTCCATATGAGAAGGTAAACTCTGTTCGCCCTCTTTAATGAGGAAACAGTGTCGCCTTTTTACGGGCTGTGGGGGGTTGTACACAAGTTCTCGTCTGTTGACGGCCCTGATGCAGAGGGTACTTTGGATTGGACATGCCGGCTCCATCCAGTTTTTCAGAGCTCAATATTTATGGTTTTCCGGTAAGGGCCCCGATGATAACAGGTATCCTGTTTATTTATAACATGTACCCGCCTGTAAAGTAGGCATCTGTTCGCCTGTTTAATGCAGTGGAACCGTGTGTCTTCTTTGTATGCAGAGGGGTGTTATACGTACAGCCCACTTTGTGGTACTCACAGTTAAATTCCATATGAGAAGGTAAACTCTGTTCGCCCTCTTTAATGAGGAAACAGTGTCGCCTTTTTACGGGCTGTGGGGGGTTGTACACAAGTTCTCGTCTGTTGACGGCCCTGATGCAGAGAGTACTATGGATTGGACATGCCGGCTCCATCCAGTTTTTCATGTGCAGATACTTGTATAAATTGATCAAAAGATTCGAAAATGATACCCGGGTCCTTCCCTGGGGCAGATTGGAGCAGTGTAACGTTTAAGTAAACGTATTTTATATTCAGTTGGGAAAGTTTGTGTCGTAGTTGTTATTATTGTCATGATGTTGATATTCAGGGTAACAAGATTCCATCCTCTATTAAATCTCAAGTACCCGCAAAAACGCATCCCGTTTCATTTGTTACTGTGAATGTAAGAAATTTTATCGAACGAAGGGCGATATAAATGGTTTACATTCATCAGTGACATCACGAGTTCGCGGCGGCTTCTCTTCTGTGATGACCCTTAGCGGCATCTTGATAGAAAACAATAACATGCCGACACCCTTTGAGTCAGCCGCGCGGCTTCTTTCATGTACGCGTATCTATAAAAGGAATGTGCGCAATGTATGTTTCGAATTTATATATGGAATTATTTTAGCCGGGATATATTGGTTCTCACGGTGTTGGCGTGAGAATCCTCATTCACCTTGCAGATTTTTTAGAGGATGGTCATAGACATTATTCGGTGGCAAATTAATTTTCCCTCCACCAACCCCAACTTCATTTTCCTCCTTACGTTTTTCAAGTGTATTCGATAGTATGTTTTACTAAATATTATGTGGTCAGGAAGCGTGTCAAGTGATTAACATAACGGATTAATCATGTTTGTTTTTTCCCCTCAGTCAAGTAATCTTGATGTCGAAGCAATGCTTGGCAGGTTGGGGCTTTCCTGCATCACAATTAAAGGAGATTTTATATATAACAACGTTGTTGATATAGCCGAGTAACAATTTTGGTCTCAGCTCGTTATACCATATTTTGTCGTTGTTGTTAATTCGATTATATATATTGGCATTATTGTTTTGCAAGCAATACGATTTTGTAATAATGGTTTTGTTGGTCTAGGAGATAAGTTATGATTGACATGATATGTGTTTTGTCTCACAGATATAAATGCAATAATGCATGGAAATTGTTTTACATGCTTTAGGTCAAGCAATCGAATATATACGATACAGGGTAATCTCGATTAAAGGAGATTTCATATGTAACAATGTTGTTAATATAGCAGAATAACATTCCTGGTCCCAGCTCGTTATATTATATTTTGTTGTTACCTGTATTAGGTCCATGATTATATACAACGGCATTTCTGCTGTAGCATGGTAAATTTAACGGGACCAATTAAGAACCTCGTTATACCGATTTATCGCTGTATACAGTGGGTTTAACATTATTTAGTGAGTGTGTTCACGAATTAAAGGAGAATTGTATTCCCAAAGGACATGCAGGGTAATGCTATATCAAATTGAAAGTTTACTCGGATTTGGAGCAAATTGCTTGGTCGCACGAATATCTGCGGTTTTATAACGAATGGCTCCGCAGTCGTGGGCCGTGAGGGAATTTTGTCCCGGTCATGTTTCTCAGATCAGTGGTCTGAAGATCGGGTTTGTTTCGCCCTCACCTCATCCGAAAGGGGGTCACGGAGTGGCCTCGGGGGGGGGGGGGGGGGGGGGGGGGGGGGGGGATCTAAACACGCGAATTGTTGGAATTTGCGTTGTGACATGCGGAAATTGGCATTTTTGCCTCTTCGCATATATATATGTGTATGTGTATATATGTTAATATATACATATAAAGGTTATTATGTGTATTACACACTGCTGCAGAATACCCCATGGGAAGGTTGTGTTTTGGAGAATATGATTTGGATTATTTTAATTGGCCATTGTATCTTGCAGAGCTCAATATTTATTGGTTTCCGGTAAGGGCCCCGATGATAACAGGTATCCTGTTTATTTATAACATGTACCCGCCTGTAAAGTAGGCATCTGTTCGCCTGTTTAATGCAGTGGAACCGTGTGTCTTCTTTGTATGCAGAGGGGTGTTATACGTATAGCCCACTTTGTGGTACTCACAGTTAAATTCCATATGAGAAGGTAAACTCTGTTCGCCCTCTTTAATGAGGAAACAGTGTCGCCTTTTTACGGGCTGTGGGGGGTTGTACACAAGTTCTCGTCTGTTGACGGCCCTGATGCAGAGGGTACTTTGGATTGGACATGCCGGCTCCATCCAGTTTTTCAGAGCTCAATATTTATGGTTTTCCGGTAAGGGCCCCGATGATAACAGGTATCCTGTTTATTTATAACATGTACCCGCCTGTAAAGTAGGCATCTGTTCGCCTGTTTAATGCAGTGGAACCGTGTGTCTTCTTTTTATGCAGAGGGGTGTTATACGTACAGCCCACTTTCACTATGAACATGACAGACAATGAAAGCGGACAAAATATACAGTTCCTCAGGTAGACAAAGGAACATCCCTTGACTGCTATTATGTAAAATGTGTAGAACAGGTGAATATGCATGTGACACCTGTTCTACACATTTTTACATAATAGCAGTGAAGGGATGTTCCTTTGTCTACCTAAGGAACTGTATATTTTGTCCGCTTTCATTGTCTGTCATATTCATAGTGTTTGTGGTACTCACAGTTAAATTCCATATGAGAAGGTAAACTCTGTTCGCCCTCTTTAATGAGGAAACAGTGTCGCCTTTTTACGGGCTGTGGGGGGTTGTACACAAGTTCTCGTCTGTTGACGGCCCTGATGCAGAGAGTACTATGGATTGGACATGCCGGCTCCATCCAGTTTTTCATGTGCAGATACTTGTATAAATTGATCAAAAGATTCGAAAATGATACCCGGGTCCTTCCCTGGGGCAGATTGGAGCAGTGTAACGTTTAAGTAAACGTATTTTATATTCAGTTGGGAAAGTTTGTGTCGTAGTTGTTATTATTGTCATGATGTTGATATTCAGGGTAACAAGATTCCATCCTCTATTAAATCTCAAGTACCCGCAAAAACGCATCCCGTTTCATTTGTTACTGTGAATGTAAATAGCTCATTGTTCGTTATCTACTTATCTTTCATCATGATAAAACCGTCAACTTAACTGTAAAATGTAAACAACCACAGCGATGCTAGGTGAATGCATATACACTGTGCACAGTGACTGCAAACACATAATAGCTAGCCCATCACAATGCAGTGTATTGCTAATGTGTTCTTAAAGAAATCTGTGTGTGCATGTGTTACGCATTGAATGTGTTTCTCCGTAAAGCAAGAGTGGGCGGGAAGTAAAGCCAGCATAAATTAAACTTGTCAGTGACCGCTGGCACAGTACTGACGAATCAGTAAAATTATGAAGTTTGTTGACCTGTGTGTAGGCAAGTGCTGAGCTGTGAGACAGTGAGAGGTGTGCATGTGAAAGTTTGCTTGATGTGACTGATCAGACCAATCAGAAACTTTCCTTGTGAGTGGGCGGAGAGTGAAGCCAGCATAAATTAAACTTGTCAGTGACCGCTGGCACAGTACTGACAAATCATAAATTATGAAGTTTGTTGACCTGTACTGTGTAGGCAAATTCACATATTGTGCATGCTGAGCTGTGAGATCGAGAGTATGTGTGCATGTGAAAGTTTGCTTTATGATTCTCCTTGCCCCCAGTTGTCTCTCTGTCTGTCTCCCATTCTCGAGCGACTGGAAAATTTATCTCATCATTCTCTTCCTTCCATCTTTGATCTCTCTCTTCTTTCTCTTTTTCTATTCTATTTAATCATCTTTCGAATATTTGTAAAACCTATTATCCCCCTCAAATCTTGCCTTTAACAAATTTTGATCTTCTTTCTTTAAAAAAAATAGTTTTCGCATGTTTTTTAAATCTTTCTCAAGTTTCTTTCATTTTGTTCTCGATCCCTCCCAACATTCATTCACATCTCTTTATCTCTTTCACTATCGACTTTCACTCATTCTCAGTTCCCCCAAAGCATGTCGTGCCGTAGAATTATTTTTAAAAGGCAGAGATATTCATATTCCCTATCAAAATCAAAGCAGTATTTTTAACTATTGTGTTTACAAATGGCAAGGATTAGTGCATGCATGCCAGACAACTGGCGCCCGGCGGCGAATTTTTTTTTCCCAAACAGGTTTACCTATGAGAGTAAAATCCTGCCTCCTGATTGGTTCAGAGGTATACGCATCATGAATATTCATGACTGAGCTGAAAGATACTAGTAGTATTACGCATGCGCGTGACACAAGGCGAAGCTGCTCATGCAGCTCATCGAAAGTTTGAGTTCGTTGATGCAGCGCAGCTATAGTACGTAGGCTATACACTGCATGCATGGATATGCATGCGCAGTGATTGGCTCTAAGTTATAACTTTTACATGAGCTATTGTATTAGTATTATGGCGGAGTCTACAAGTACAACTCTCTGCAATTTTGGTCGCTCTAAAGAAGAGAATACCGATTTCTTCTGCAAGAACCATACAAGTCTTTATGTAAGTACCACAATATTATTGTGAAATTGTAAATCGGCCCATCCCATACCGCCATAGACCTAGGCGAATTTAGTCTATGAATTATGGTGCAGCAGTTTGGTTAAAATTGTTTAGGCCTAACTGTTAGATCTAGTCTACTGTTAGAGCTAGATCTAGGCTAGTAATACCGTACTACTGAAGTAGATCTAGGCTACTAGTACCTACCGTATAGGCCTAGATTTAGGTAACTAGCCTAGATCTAGATCTACTACAGTACTTGATTGTCTAGGGTTAATTGTTGTGTGTATGTATGAGTATGAGATAGTCTAGTAATGTTACATGACGAAAACTCGTTGTGAAACCTCCATTTGACTTTCACCACTAGGCACTAGAGCTGAGATTGTGATAAGCCCGAACATGGCCGAAGTAAACACTAGCGCTGTAATCCACCCCCACCGAGACCTTGATGAGGTGATAGTGAGAGAGAGAGAGAGATAAGCATGATAGAGGGGGAAAGGAAGGGAGAAGGGAGAAAGAGACACATGACATGCAGGGGTTGCTGCCAGAGTTAAAATTGTTGTTACAGTAGATCTAGACCCTATATCGCCAATTATGGGTCATTTTGCTTCGTTTGAACTTTCATTTTGGTCTTCATCTAACTAATTAGTGACTTTTGGACATGAAAATATCTTAAAACAAGTAAAATACTTATTTCCTACTTCTCATTTCCTTTCAGGCAGAGCCCCAGTAAGAGTTTGTTTACACTAGTATTACTATTACGTAAGATGATGAAGAGTCCAGCTGCAAACCATTAATATTATCTTAATCTCTCACTCAAGAGCCTCAACGAAACGAAATGGGGTAGAGCATGGACCTACTACTATCACAAGTAGTAGTAGTCTAGTAGGTCCATATGGTAGAGGCACCCCACCAGAAGCTCTCTCAAAGTTTTAAAGCCCAAGTCCACTCCAAAAATAACTTACTTTCAATAGAAGCAGAAAAATCAGACTAATTAACCAATCAAAAAAGTCTGAGCAAAATCGGATAACTAATAAGAAAGTTATGAATTTTTAATGGCATTACAAACTTTGAAAATCCCTAGACAAATTGGCAACTCACTCATGAGTCTGTGACATCATGTCCTCACTATCCACTAATTATTTTCTTTATATTGATGATATAAATTTCCTATTTTCTCCTTAAGAATCTTACTTCTTCACACCAGCATCCAAGTTAGATTAAAAGTAATATGTTTTTGTGTGGATGCACTAATATCTAGTAATTTTTTCCAGTTAAATTATGAAAAATGTGAATTTTGATAAACTATTTATATAAAAATCAATAATTATGAATATACAATATTCAGAAAATAGTATAAATTCTTCAAAGTTCATAAAAGATTTTGTGAAATGTTATTCACGCAATATGATACAAATCATATAACCTGGGCAAAGGCATGGGGAAATCAGGTTTTGGGGAATAAAAAGGGAAATAAATGGGATTAAACCACATAGAGCAATTGAAAGATAGTGAGGACATGACGTCACAACCTGATAACCAAATTGGCAACTTGTGTAGTGATTATCATAGTTCCATACTTTTACATACTTTTTCAAAATTTATAACTTTCTTATTATTTATAAGATTTTGCTCAATTTTTTTTGATTGGTTTGTCTAATTTTTCTGCTTCTATTGAAAGTAAGTTATTTTTGGAGTGGACTTTTACTTTAACGAGAGAAACAAAAATGGGGTAGCCCATCAGATTACATTGACTGCTGTGTTAAAGTGTGGGGTATAGTTTTAATATATGACGAACGAGAGCTTTTCGTAATGACACGGTCACCTCAGCTTGTCACTGTTTCGTTAATATTAGGCCTAACTATCAGGATATGTTCATAATCTGCGGGGGAAAAGGGAACAGACAGGGGCGGCCGAGCGACTTCCAAAGTAGGGGGGGGGGCACCAAGAAAAAAGGGCATTGAGGAGAATGGAAAATGGACACTTATTGCAAAGGAAAAAGGAACTTGTTGAAGGAAAAGGGGCACTTATCAGAGTTGAAAAGGGGAAGAGGCACTTTTACAAATTAATAGGGGCATTTGTCAATGTACAAGAGGCACTATTCCTATGTAAAAAGGGGTACTTCTTACAAAGTTAAAAGGGGCACTTTTCGGGTGCTTGAAAAAATGGGGGGGGGGTGGGCACTGTGCCAAAATGTTCCATGCAGCCTGTTTCCCGCTACACCTAACGTTAGGTCAATGCCTCAGAGTCGGAGGCCCATGAAAGTAGAATTGCCATTTGATTTGTCATATACATTGAAACATATGGGGGGGGGGGCACAGTATAGGCTCATGTACATAGGTGCTAGCTTTACCAACATCAGGTAAATTGCCACTTGGTCTGCACCCACCAGATTTTCGTCTGGTTTCATCACCCCACATGGTCTAATCCTAGTTCATCTACTAACCATTTGCTTGGTATAATTGCCACTAAGCCCATTTACCATTTTGTCTAATCTCCAGTTAGGGCTTGTTATGCTATAGTTACTATTTGTTTCTCTAGTCTCTTCCCATACATATTAATTTCACATCATTTGCATATTCATTTCATCCATTCATCTCCACAACATGCATACCAACTCATAAAGCTAGAACAGGTGGTATGTTCTCTTCTCATTTACATATTTCCACTTCTTACTTATCAATGGTTCTCTTCTCATTCATTTCACATCATTTGCATATTCATTTCGTCCATTCATCTCCACCACATGCATACCAACTCATAAAGCTAGAACAGGTGGTATGTTCTCTTCTCATTTACATATTTCCACTTCTTACTTATCAATGGTTCTCTTCTCATTCATTTCACATCATTTGCATATTCATTTCATCCATTCATCTCCACCACATGCATACCAACTCATAAAGCTAGAACAGGTGGTATGTTCTCTTCTCATTTACATATTTCAACTTCTTACTTATCAATGGTTCTCTTCTCCTTTTTCTTATGAATATTCATTTTTATTCATAAATCCTATTTTGCTATTGGTTGATAACGTATTTTTCATTTGAATATAATCTGCATGAAGCACATGTACAGCCTCATATAATAAAACTCATACAGAGCTGGACTGGACTAACACTGTGTAAGAGGTATTGATTTAGAGTTCTGTTGGCATGATAAGTTAGAGACTTAATAGGAGAGAGGATTTGTGAGTTTGGCAGTGATTTGTATGATTGGTGTTTAATTCAGTGATTGATTGGCAAGAGATTAACTGGTTTTAGACAATGTGAGAATCAATCTGCTAGTAGACCAAGTGGATACAAACCACAATTCATTTTATTCTCGCCAACTTAATCTGTGAAGCACAACTTTAGTCAACCATGACTCTTCATACAAAACCATTAAACATGTCTTACTTCTTTCTTAAATTACAGGAATCCCTTCCACCTGACTATGCCTACCACATTTGCAATTATCAAGAGGTTGCGGATGGCAAATATGAGGCAGAATTCAGAATTGACATTTCCAATGAAGATGATGCTAAACTGTGGCTAGAAAAATACCAACAGCTCACCAAAGTGACATTCCGTGTTGGAGCAACAAAGCTAAAAAATGGATGGGTGAATCTGTTCAAGGTTTTTTACCGTTGCCAACACAAGACTCTTCCTCGGTCTGAAACAGCAAGTCAGAAAATGTCGTCAAAGAACACGAATTGTCCAGCGAAGCTAGCTGTGACTGTTAAAAAGATTCCTGGGAAACTAAGCAGGTAAGTTTCAAAAATATAAGTTGGCAACATGATGAAAACAACAAAATCACTATTTAAAAATACAAATTGGCAACTTTTCGTTAAAAATTTGCTATAATCGTTCATGTTGATCTCATGTTATATCCATATTTAATTTTTTCAAAATATGAAAATAAACAAAATTAACGATTGTTGCCAATTTGAGGAGCAAAAGCAGATTAATCTAATTGACCTTATGAAAGCTGTGTACCTCTTTGGGTTAACACAATATGCCCCAAATGGTGGAGTTGGGCCCTTCCTGTATTCCAGTATTCAATTGTTTGGTTCAGTTTGTATTGAATAAAAATGCCAGGGGTTAAAAGTTATTGGTTACATTCGTTCTTCAAGATTATATTTTATTTTATATCTTTCATTGTCAATTTCAGAGCCAAAAGTAAGGATCTTCACTTGCCAGCCTATCAAACTGTTGTCAAGATCTCTCACACCCATAACCACATGAATGATAGTGCCGATACACTGAAGCACAGAGATGTCAGCAAGGAGACGATTGAGAAATTCAAAGACTTGTTCTCTAAAGGCCATTCACCTGCATCAGCTTTGAACACACACAAACTGGATCTGCAACTACAGTATGACCAAGATTATGTGTATGAAGCTGCTGACCGTGCAAACTGTCCAGACACACAATTCTGTCACAGGTGAGAATTCATATTATAGTCTTGCCCCCCCCCCCCAAAAAAAAAGATGTCATTTTTTATGCCCCCACCCATCGTAAGTGGTTGCCGGAGGGATTGTTTTATCGGGTCGTCCATCCGCCCTCCATCCCATTTTCGTTCTTGCGATAACTAAAGAACCGTTTGACTTTATCAACTTAAAACTTGGTCCAAGTATACATATAGGATTGACGATGATCTGATTAGTTTTTGGGGTGATAAGGTCAAAGATCACAGAGGTCATTATATACCTGAAAATATCTCGTTCTCGCGATAACTAAAGAACCATTTAAGGGATCATCTTCAAACTTGGCTCATGCATGTATGGGAGTGACTGTGCATCTGATAAGATTTGGGGGTCACAAGGTCAAAGGTCACACAGGTCAATATTTGAAAATTTAAGAAGTTAGGCGTGTAATATATTTCTGATCTGGCAATGGCGGAGGCATAAATTTTGACTGCGCGCAGTCAAGAATCCATCTAGTTTTAATGGAAATCCATCAAGATACCCTCGATTTTGGACAACAAAACTATGCAGAGACTAGCTGGTTACAAGCAGTTAATAGATATATCCATGAAAAATGTCTGCTGTGCTGTCTCTACTCTGTTTAAGAGTGTGCTAGGAATTGTTCAAACCTGACTCTTACACTGGTGATACATGTCTGACATAGCAACTCCTATGTTGTACTGTAAACAGTTGAATAGCTCTGGCAAAGCTATTACATAACACCGTTGATTGATAGCTCACTAATGATTGACAGTTGATGTCACTGAAGGCATGAGATCTGGAGGTTTTTTAGGGACGGAGCTGAGCAGGTTGAAAGAATAATTGTTCAAAAATCCATGAAACATGTTTGGATATTTGAATAGCAAATATGAGTTGTATGCTTGCAACTTGCATTTTGGTTGCAGAGGCTTTTGAAAGTCCAATTGCGAGAACCAGGAAGAACATCCTGAAATGCAGAGAACCTCAAATACATGTAGCATCAATTAATATGTGTTCTCTGTAACATATGCAGACAAGATCTTTTGGCATTGTTGAATAAGTTTGATCTCATCATTCACAGGTCAATGGTCAAATTTTTTAATTTAACATATCAATTGGGGAGTTAAGGAATCAAAATATAACTTTAAAAATTGAATCTATGTAGAAAATTTCATGGCATTGCCCATTTAAGATTCATTAAACATAACTGAAGAAATTTGGAATTAATGTGTATTTTCAAATAAGTCCTCATTGTAATGCATTCTGTTGCCTATCATTGAAAAATTCTCTTGGTCGATCCTCTCAGTCATGCGTATGTCTGAATAACATCTTGTAGTAGGAAGATGTAAATTAGTATTCTAAAACATTTACCATGTTATAGTCACCATTTATCCATTTTTATATTTTTGTATTCCAGGTTGTACCGGAAGATCTTTGACAAGGCATATGGTGCTGCAAGTGGCGAGAAAATGTTGAGTGACCTTGAAGCTGCCATTGCAGGGTACAACAGTGAGGTGGGTGAAGTCTGTGCCAAGATCGATCAGGTCAACAACAAGATTGCCATCGCTCTATGTTCTCCGCTCATGAAACGTTGCAGTCAGAAGCATGAATACAGCAGAGAACTTGTCTTTATCGATGCTACGGGGGGTATGGATCGATATGACTGCAGGGTATTTATGCTCTTGACCCACAGTGCTGCTGGTGGTTTGCCCGTGGGATGCCTGATTGTGACCTCTGAGTCTAGGGACTGCATTACCCTGGCATTGAAACTGTACTTGGACATCATACCAAAAGATGCCTTTTTTGGCCGTGGTACACTTGGCCCTCGTGTTTTTTTGTCTGATGATAGCGAGGCAGAAAGGCAGAGCCTGGCAGCAGTTTTTCCAGACGCTACGTTAATTCTTTGTGTTTTCCACCTGCTGCAGGCGGTGTGGAGATTCCTGTGGGAAGGAAAGAATCAGATCAGGAAGGAGCATAGACCACAGCTGCTTTTTGCTGTCAAAAAGATGACATTCTCAATGTCTGAGAATACTCTTGAGGAAGCATATGAAGAGCTCCAGGGTAGTGACGTTGCTCGCCTCTATCCAAACTTCCTAGCACATGTTGAGAAACTGTATAGTCGCCGTCAAGCATGGGCTGTGTGCTATCGTCAAGACTTACCCACTCGGGGTAACAACACCAACAACTATGCCGAGGCGGCAATGAGAATTCTCAAGGATCAAATCTTTGAGCGAGTGAGAGCGTACAATGTTGTTCAGCTGTTTGACTTTCTTGTGACACGTGTCTCCAGTTACTACGAGCGTAGACTCACTGACTTGGCTAATGGACGTGTTGATGTGACAGTTTCAAGAAAGTACCTCCCTGGTGGGTCATCGATTCCAGCCACCAGCATCACCAAGATTGGTGCCCATTGTTACGAGGTGAAGAGTGAGACGAAGGAGGAAACAAAATACAACGTGGATACAGAAATTGGAGTGTGCACATGCATTACAGGAATGAATGGCGCTCCCTGCAAGCACCAGTATGCCGTTGTGCGACATTTCAACGAGACCTCGCTGAATTTCTTGCCCCTCAGAGACCCTCACTTGCGGGAACACATGCTATTTCTGGCAACTGGTCAGAAAAATGTGAGACCAGGATGGTTCACATCCCTACCAATTGCAGGCTTGCCACTAGAAGAGGATCCTGGGGTACAGGTACCAGACCAGATGGGTAGTCTGAGTGATGATGATAATGTAGTTGAATCCGAGTGCCCTTCTGTTGCTTCAGTTGCAGCTCCGTCCAGCTCCAATGTGGCTGTGGAGTCTTTGAATGTTCAGAGGATGCTGCAGAATAAGTTTGATATGAGGGGCAGTGGTCCATTGCAGTCAAATGTTGATGGAGGTGAACCACCCTGCAATGATAAATTAGCCTCTTTGGAAGCTGCTATCAATGACTGTGCCAGTCAACTAATTGCAAAGCTCAAGCGCGATCCGGAAGAACTCAGTGAGCCTGTTGAATCCTATGTTAAACAGTTCAACTCCTTGAAAACAAATTCTGCCCTTGTTGGTGCCCTGAAGACCTTCGGTAAATACACTGGTGCTTCTCTGGATATGACCTCTTCAAAGAAAAAGAAACAGGCTCGAAGGAAGGGAGTGGCCATCAAAGTTCAGCCAGCTGCTGTTAGTCGGCGTAAGAGTGTTCTTGGGGGCCGCAGATGCCTTCACACTGGCCGAAAGCTAAGAGAATTGAAGAAGCGAAAGACAGTGGACAGTTCCCAGTTGATTCCAAAAAAGAAACCAAGGAAAGCACCCCATTCTCTCAGTCAGTGTGTAACAAACAATGAAGGGATTGGTCAAAATAAATCTTCAAAGTGGTAGTTAGTTACATGTATAGTCAGCTAGACAGTCACCTGACCCACTTGCTGCTCCCTTATCTCTTCGTTTGTTAATCCTTATTATGTACTTGTCTCTTGCTATGCTGTATTGTATTTGTGCTTTTTATATGTGAATGGTCGAATAAATAATAATAATAATAATAATAATAATAACAGTTAAAGATGAAGTTGAGTTCTGGTCATGCGATTGCATTGTGAAAGAAACGGTGTGGAACCAACCAGAAAAGGTTGATCATCTAGCATATAAGAATTTGTGTGTATTGCAAGGTTCTGGAATCATCAAAATGATAAGAAATTTGGCCAAGTCTTGGTAAAGTTATAAACACTTGCACAGAAAGATGTATATGGGACTACACGAACATATGGCGTAAAAAGCCGCCCCCCCCCCCCCCGATTTTTACGATGTTACATGCATATTTAGAATATGAAGGCATTTGAAGAGCCATGCTTTTCAGGGAACATGTCTTAAATGATGTTCTGCACACTTGCATAATAAGAATGAGTAATGCTCACAAATTATTTTTCACCTCTTCCCAGAACTCAACCTTCTCTTTAATTGAAACCCAGACATCAGTGTGCTTTCAGTGAATAAAGAAGAACAAGAAGAGTTAGACAGTGAAAGTTTGAGCGAAAGCGGGCAATCTGTTCAAGAGTTTAAGTAAATCCTTATTACGGGGATCCTTGAATTGGCAACTTTGCCAGCATCTGTAATGTCATTGTGGACAACTCTCCATTCATTTTTTACACAGAATTTAACATTTTCTTCATTTTCAAGAAAAATATAGATTCTTTTAATTCAATCGGTTTGAGTATGACATGGCTAGATTGATTCTGCAAGCATTTTTGGAAAAATTATGTTGATTCCTGGCTTAGAATTTAATATAAATCAATTTTAAAAAAATGATGCACAAAATGAATGGAGACTTGTCCACAATAGCATCACAGATGCTGCCAAGCTAGTTAAACCAGGTATCCCAATAATAGGGATTTACTGAACCCTTGACAATTTGATGATAACTCTTGAACAGATTGTCTGATTTTATTCAAACTTTCAAACTTTAATTCTTTCCGTGCTAAGAGACTTTACATTTTTAATTGAACATTACTCCACTTAGAAAGATGGATATATGGTCTGACATACATGTATATGACATATGATATGATATATGACATAGTCTAGAGGATACATATAGTATTTTAAATATTTATAAGTCACTATAATTATGCTACCATTGGATTTGTTTTGTTTTTAGAAAACTGCAGATATTGGGAAAGGATCCATTCTTATTTTAGCATAAAACAATAGCAAATAAATGAGAAATGAAAATTGAAAGGTCAAGAGAGATTAAGCTCATTTCTATTTCAAAATAATTTTCATGCATGACATTGAATTAATGGAATTATTTTGTATCATTTGAAAGGGTAATAAATGTTTGTAGAACTTTTGTGTAAAGCAAGCACTGTACATGATTTGGTAGAATTTGGGAACAAGCAAAACCCCTTGGCACTGTAAGAGTTAAAGGAGAATGAAACCCTGGGGAAATATCTATTTTTAACGAACAGAGAAGATAGAGAGAGGCAATTAAAAAAAAAAGTTCCATCAAAATCGGTTACGAAATGAGAAAGTTATGAAAGTTTGAAAAGTTTTGCGAACCGCACTTTAGTTGTACAATTCTCAATATGTTTTGTACACAAAATTTCATATTTTCTCCATTATCTCTGAAGATGCTGCTTGTGTTTTTGTGAACTCAACATACATGTATGTTATCAAATACATTTTCCCATGATATATATATCTTGAGCTAAGAAGGAGACAAGCTGCACCTTCAGAGATAATTGGGAAAATATGAATTTTGTGTACAAAACATATGGAGCATTGTACTACTAAACCTGCCACTTTGAAGCAACATTGCCAATTTGAGGATCGCCAAAGAAAGTAAATTGAGGCTTTTCAAACTTTCATAACTTTCTCATTTTGTAACCAATTTTGATGGAACTTTTAAAAATTGCTTATCTCTATCCTCTCTTTTCATTAAAGTGGATTTTCCCCAGGGTTTCATTGTCCTTTAATATTTCCCAAATTTGATTTGTGAGCACAAAAATACTTCAATCACAGGCATATAAACAATTTCTGTCAAGTAAATTGTACCAAGTTAGATTCGAAGTGAGTTAATCAAGTTATAGGCATAATGCTATGAAAATTGTTAAGAACTTATATGAGACACAAAATAGTCTTGTAGGGTAGAATGAAGGCACATTATAACTTTTGAAGGAAATAAATGGAGGCATGAGTGAATTTGCAAGTAAGATATGATCTCACGCATATAGTCATTTTAATGACTGATGATTTGATTGGCTAATTTAGATTTTAGTTCATTCAAGATAACTTTTGTTCATTTAAGAAAATGGTGACATTTTTCATAGATTTCAGTAAGTGTAATACATACTTGTAATTAGAATGTTCAATGTATTGACAAAGAAAGATTATTAATAGAACAAAATCTTGAAAATAATTTGGGTAAAAGTTCATACTACTTTTTTATGTGAAAGGTCATGCTAAATTCTTGCACATAGAGTGTTCATGTCTAATTTCGAATCTGAGAATAAATAGTGAGAGTTCAGGTTTTAATTAAAATTGGGATTTATTTTTTATTTTAATGCTTTGAAATTGTGTCAGTAGGTTATGTTATTATGTATTCTGAATTAGTCTCAAAAGCAGTGACACATGCATGCAATATATATGGAGTCTCAAATTTAGTTGACAGAGGCAGTGAAATAAATGTGTGTGGGGATTGTATCTTAATAACAGAAAATGTAAAATCATATCTTGTGCATGTCATATCAAGTTTAAATTCATGAAAGTAGGTCAAAGGTTATGAACCTGCTGTTTGTATTTATTGTTGAAAGCTCAAATTAATGCAATGAAATGTATGTCCTTTAAATATTGTTTTGATTCTGATTTAAGTTAGATAATCTTGAGAAAAGAAGTTTGAAGATATAAAGATTGAAAAGGACTTAGTCAGATATTCATGTTTAAATAAGAGATGAATCAGTGTAATGTGCACTTGGTATGCATATTAATAATAAAAGCTTGTCTTTGACATGTGTAGAGCCTGTATATATTACTTTATGTCCTTTGTTTTCTTTGGCCAGGTTCATCTGTCACAAAGGAACCAGAACCACTGATATGTTTGTTTGTTTGGTTTTATTTCCACTTTTTCATATCAATACAAAGAAACATACAAATAAATATAATGAATAACATGTAAGTTTGACAAAATTTGTTTCTAGTTAAAATAAAAGTTTCATACAAAAGGAAAAAGCAGGAGACCACATGTTGTAAGCGTAAATGCTTGAACATGACCGTGGCCTCTGCCGAGTTAACAAAATAAAAGAACAACCCATGCAACTGCATTGTATTCAATGTTAAATAAGATATGAGTGAAGTGATTAAAAGTGAGCATGGCTGAATTAATTTTGAGTGAAAATAACAAAACAAATTTAGTGAAATATTTCGTGTTGAGAAGTGCATTTGTGCAAGGTGCAAAAATGAGCTTGGTGGAACAAAAAAGAGACTAATACCGTGATATTAATTGTGTGTTGGTTTCAGTTACGGGTGATAATATTAAATGTTTGTCAAGATATCATGCTCAGAGCAACACAGTGGCTTTGAACCACATCCAACCATCTCATGTCGGACCATCCTGATAAGATAATTCATACCCCTTGTGTGTGTCTATTGTGTATTCTTGACAGCTAGTGTGTGCATTTGTTGCTTATGTGTTTGTAAATACATGAGGGTGGGTGGGTGTGTGTTTATAGAGAGAGAGAGAGAGAGAGAGAGCGAGAGAGAGAGAGCGAGAGAGAGAAAGAGAGAGAGAGAGAGAGAGAGAGAAAGATAGTGTTTGTATGTATAGGCTATGTGTGAAATTGGAATATTAGTGTGTGTACTGTAAGTGAACTCTTTGAGAAAAAAAATCCGCAGTGTAAAACTATATAAACCAAGCACCAGAATAACCAGAAATGTTCACAAACAGACCCCCCCCCCCTACCCCCAATAAAAATCGCCTCGCACGCACCACAGCTAGCTCACATACATTTTGTACACCTAAATGGCCAGCAAAACTGAAGTCCACGCGCATGCGTAATACATATACTAGGTACTGCAGCTCAGCCACAGTGCTGTGAACTCAGCTCGTGAATATTCATGACGCGTATACCTCTGAACCAATCAGGAGGCAGGATTTTACTCTCATAGGTAAACCTGTTTGGGAAAAAAAAATTCGCCGCCCGGCGTGGTGTAATATTACACGTGGTTTCTCAGAACAGGGTGTGCGGCCTTTGTTTGTTATCGGTTACCAGGCGACCAGCACATAACAAATTGATGTAAATCTCAGTGTCATGTGTAGCATGGGCGCTGCATGTCATGCTTGTTTTTAATTGACAGAAAAACGGACCAATCATAGTAAAGAATGTGGGATGGGGGCTCTAGCTGACAGAGAGTGTACTTCTGTATTTTGAGAAGTGGTGATGCCTAGCCTTAGGGAGTGGTTTAGACTAAGCATGTTGACCTGGGACTTATTATAACTGTCTTGAATCATGGCTGCATGGTAGACAGCAGGTCAGTAGACAGAAGGTCACACAAGATGTGTTGTAGAGTAGACTTGTAGTAAAAGTCAATATTATTTCCGGGTTACCGGACCTTTCCGGGTCCCGTTAAGAAATTTGGAAAATTCCCGGGTCGGGCCGGGTCCGGGTTTTGGGTTCCGAGCTACAGTGTGCTCTCTGTTCTTAAAATGCTATTCATTGAGATCCTGTCTATATACGACAGCAGACCTCAGTGTCAGGTATATAGTTTGTAAATGAGTTGATATGCATGATAGAAATTGATGTTTTCCAAGAGTTGAAAATAACTTACAAAAGTTTTTATTACAATGGTTTTCGGCATTGCAGTCATAAGTTGCATTTCCAGTGTTTTACTCATTTCAAAAATTTGTAGTGAAAGTTAAGATATATTTTCTTTTTTTGAAAAAGGCTATTTTGCTCAATATTCTTTACATGTTGAAAGACGTATCCGGACTATCTAATCAATCCACAAGCTACTGTACACCAGGGTTGGCCCTTCCACAAGCCTTGCTGGAGGATCTTCAACCAACCTTTGTAGGATTTCAAAACAATCTAGTCAGGGTATCG